GCGATCCGGGGAGCCCGGGATTGCCCGCCGTATCGCCGCGACGCCAGCTCCGCCCTCATTTCCGTGTTACTATTGATGTTGTGAGCTGTCTAGAACTTCACAAAGGGTAGGTGGGATGTAAATGTTTTAAATACATAAATAAAATCAATTAATATAACAAAAAACTTTAACTTTTTTTAATATAAAAAAAAATGGAAAAAAACTCAAATGGGAGAGTCATGCTGTTTACTGCAGCTAACATCAAAGGAATTTCCAATGCAGATTTCTCCAATCTGATGTCCCCAGATGAGTTGGACCAAAATTTTCTGAGACTTGGCCATTGTCTGCTTCTGCCATCTTACCTTTTTGACTGCCCTTCACAAATGCCACTGATTATATCTTCCTCTTTCAGATATAGAAACCAGCCTTGATTACAATATATTTTATTGTCTAAACTCAAGATCTGTAGATATTCATTTGCCTCTCCGCCTCCAGCACGTATCCCTCAGCCCACAACACATTTCTTAGCTTCCTGCCAGCACTTATCTTTCACCGGCCAACCTGCTTGCAGGACCAGCTCAGAATGTGTCATTGTCCTCCTCCTCCTCCTCATATTCCTTGGGTTTCTTTTCTGACTCCTCAACTCTATATTGACTAATTTGAAGATGAGAAAAAAACAGAAAGGGTTAATAATAGTTTTCCTGAACTTTTCTCCCTTTTCTTTTCTTTTTCCCAGTTCCTTAGAATGCGGAAAAGAACTAAATGCCCGACAGTTCTGCAAATATTGACTCCTAACTCACAATCATGGAGATTCATTGTCCCATACATTCAGTTTTGGGCACATCAACACAAATTTTCAAAAATAACACAAACAGTGCTTCTGTGCATCCAAATGCAATGAACTGAAGGGGCATAAATGACCTTTATTGGCTGTAGGTTGAAAGCAAGTCTGAACAACTGTGATCAGGCTTCATCATATGGTTATATCTACAGTTCTGGCCACCATATCTTAAAAAGGAGATATGAAAAGATACAAAAAAGGGCAACCAAAGTGAGTAAGGGAGTGGACAGTTCTCCCATGAGGAAGAGCTACAACAATTGGGGCTGTTTAGCTTGGACTGAAGAAGGGTAAGGGGAGGTAGGATAGAAGAGGGTTTGGAGACCTTTTATAAGAATCATGGGGCCTGAGCCACCACATCCTGTGAGTACATGTGTGTGTCCTATTACAAGCCTCTTGGAAGAAGGTCAGTAGTTGAATGAATTCTGGCCAAGCCTTCTTAGAGAAACAAAGATTATTTATGAAGGGCTAGGCTTCACTACTGAACTGAAGAAAAAATGCAAAAAAATCCTAAGGAGGAAGCATTTTCATTATAGATAAGCCATTATGAAATATACATTTGATTCCCTTGAGGATAAATCAGATATGCTCTTCTTGGATTTAAAAATCTAGCTAGAAATATGAAGAAGCCTTCAGGTTTATTCTCATCTATCCTTGACCTACTAGCAATCATAGAGGAAGAAGAAATTACAAAGTTTCTGTTTACCATGTACCTATAGGATCTAAATGAAAAGGAATTGCAAAAATAACTTGTTTTGTTTTACAAAATTCAGAAAGATTCAGATCTGTGCATCTCTGAAGAAGCCCTGGGGATTGAGTTTCTTAACCATATTCATGTCATGATTCTAGAATATGTTTCCTCAGACCTGCATATGCATGAGAATGTTCATTGACTTGTCATTCTGCGTTACATCTTGAGAACACAATTTTGGTAAGCTTAAGGCTTAAAGCCTGAGATTTTGGAGAACAGACTGAACTGTTTGCTCCTGCAAGTAGTGACTGCATAAATTCTCCTCCCTTTACTTGGCATCACAGGGTTCCCCATGGGAGAAAAAAGGGAGGGATGAGGACAGAACAGCCTTGGGGAGCTCCTCACCTTCCCATTCCAGCCATGGTGGACCTTTTCCTCTCTGCACCACTACCCCCAGGCTACTCAAGAAGCACTTTGCTCTTCCTTTCAAAAATGGCAAAAGTATCTTTGTTACAGTGTGCTTTTGCAGACAGGTTACTTACTGCTCTAAAATGTTCACATACCAAAATAGTATTTGTCCATCTCTCTCTCTCTGTCTCTTTCTCTAAGTTAAAAAAAAGTAACAGAGAGGGTAAAACTGTTTAATATAATACTACATACACTCACCTGTAGTCCACATATCCTGTTCTGGCTTGGTCCAATTTGCGTACCAGTTCTGCAACCTGCATCCGATTCAGGGGGATCTTTGATTGCTTGAGACACAAGAATATAGTTATTGCATAGATCTTGGTGATTGTCACAGTAGATGGTGGCCCTTATCTGACCTTGAGCGGTCCACAAACTGAAGCAGGATCAGATCTGGTTAGGATGGGAAACCATCAGGAAAAACTACAGTTATAGGCTACACTGGGAAGTTGAAAAAGTTGAAAAGAGCCAGTTTGTTCTAGTGGTTAGGTACCAAGCTAGAAAGCAGAAGCCGGTGAGTTCTAGTCCCACCTTAGGCATGAAAGCCGGCTGGGGGACTTTGGGCCAGTCGCTCTC